GGGGGGGGGGGGGGGGAGGGGTACGCAGTGTTTCCTCTTCCAAAAACCCAGGAAATGTCTGCATATCTCAGTTTCCCAAAGTGTAACTACAGTACGAAACTGTGTACAATTTTAGAAACTGAGATCATAGTCCCTGCGACACGCAACCGGTCGCCTCGGTGGTCTAGTCTATGTCCTCGCAGCCTACTACCGGGCAGGTCATGGGTTCGAGTCCCGGCATAGTGAGTTTTCCCTCTCTGTACAAATCTCGATTAAAGTTGGAAGCGACGCGCTGCAAAGCTCGTTGTTAGGAAATTTGATCGGCTGCATTGTCGACATCGACTTAACCGTCGCGAGGAAAGGGATTGCTCCAAGCCCCGGCGTGGGTACCCCCTCCTGTGTGACTCCGGGTGCGTCTAGCTAGTTGTAGTGTATCAAATTCGCTGATAAGTGTAAGTGCACATACGGAGCAAACGTGTAGTGTGCACCGAAGAGGAGTAAGCAGGCGGCGCCAGAGATGGGACAAATAAATACAAGAGAAAAAAAACAGATAGCTGTCTGCGATTTTCCAGACGATCCTTCTATAATCGAGATCGGCGCTACATGCAGGGGTATTTTAAGCTGCTGTGGGGTACGATTTTGAAACACGCGGTAACGTCGAATCAGTAATTATTATGAGTGTGTGGGGCCGCGAACTTCAGCGCAATTCTTTCCTGACATGTCCTACTCGTGGCCATAGTCGATTTGAACGCCTGAGGGCAGGTATATGTAGGTGTTGTAGCCATAAGAAAGGTCGAAGCGTTTCAAAATAGGACCGCACAGCAGCTTGAAAAATTCGGCTTGTAGCTCACCGATCTCGATGATGCAAGGATCGTTTGGAAAATCGCGGACCGCTAGTCTGCAGTGTATCACAAGGGCTACGATCTCAGACACTAAACATTGTACACAAGCGAGCGCTGCGGAGGGCGAATATGCGAGGGTAGCTTCGTACATGAGTTACAGTAGACCTTGGGAAACTGATTTCCTGGATTTTTGAAGAGCAGACTCTGCGCACCCCTCCGGACCCTTGAAGGGAGAACGGGGGGGGGAAGTATGTTGCACTGGTGGACCGAGGGCGAAAGACATTTACCACTCGCCATCGGGATTTCTTCTGACGCGTCCATGCTGTCAACCAACTCCTGGGCGCGTCCCAGATATTTCGCGAACAGCGCGACGTTGTCCTGCCACGCGTATACCATGGACATGATCGTGTAGGCCCTGAACAAGGTCGGAAAAATGAAAAAAAAAACAAACACCAGCACGAGTTTGACGTTTCGTACGTGGTCTTCTGCGCGTCGTATACATTCGACGACGTTCGTTGTTGTTGCCAAATGCTGTTCCTACGCTACGACAGGCCAGAGGGGACGGGTGGCAGATGCGCGCGACGTACCGTACGGCAGGCACAACATGCATCAGCCAGGTGCGGCCACCACGGGCTGATGGGCGTGCGCCTTTCCTTATCCTCTCCTGTCCCCATGCTTGCAACACCTCAAGGACTACAACAGACCAAAAAGCAAAGACACAGAGCGCGTTCGGACGGCGGGGACCGACTGCGCGGCTGATGCCGCCCGACAAAACTGCAAGAGATGGAACAAAGAACAAAACGGCAGAAAAACACTCCGGCGCGGAAAACGCATCGATACCAAGCATCGGCAGGTGTACCACGCGTCGAACTGGCTTCTTGAAGTCAGCAGGTAGGAAACGGACCCCCTCCCCCCCACGAAAAAAAAACAAGCCATTTCACTTCATGAGCTCGACAAACAGGTCACCGTTTATCTTTACCCATGTTTTTTTTTGGTGGTAACCATAATGGTGGTCGGGTGGATCATGTCGTGCGGGCTGGAGAAGCCTCACACTGCGCAAGGGGGATGATCGCACCACGTTGTGTCAAAATGGTCAAGCACCCTCGAGGNGTGGAGAACCCTCACTCCGCGCAAGGGGGATGATCGCACCACGTTGTGTTAAAATGGTCAAGCACCCTCGAGGCAGTTACACAGTGCTTACAACTGCCTCTGGACGTGAAAGCATCTGAAAATAACTCAATTCATACGCAGCTGTCATCCGCACGCAAGGAAGTAAGCACAAGATGCCGAACACCCTTAGCAGGATGCAGCGCACCCTTCATGCGACTCGCCGAATATCTCACGGCGCTTCGCGCTTGGTGATGTGAGAGCCTGGTCCGGTGAGAACCCGGCGTGCTCCGCCCAGGTTTTGTAGGGA